CTAGACCAAGGTAGCCATTCTCATTTTGGATTCTTAACAATTCTCACAGTAGTGAACAACCCTGTATATCTAGTTGGAGCAGTGTATAGTGTCAACTGTGTGCTTGGCATTGTGTATCTCTTTCTTCAAATTATTGGTTTATATGTTTTGTATGTGTATGTCAGAAAGGGGCACCAAGATTTCTGATCATTTGAAAATAAGTGCAAGCCAGTACAGAATGCTTAACGGGGCTTTAGAAACCTGGATGATCGAAATGCCTCTCTGCTCTCTGTTTGTGGTGTGGTGAGTGTCTAAAGTGTAATATTACTAGTAAAAGGTGCGTAGGGTTTGAAGGGACAGTGCCATTTAATTCGTCTTAAATGTGTTTCATTAGTTTGAGTGTGTTTACAATTTAGTTTGATAATGTGATCTTGTGCAGAATGACTCCCTTATTTAATTTTTTTTTTTTTTAACAGCCTGACACCCAAAGGACTCAACCCATCATTATCACCTGCATTGCAACGCTTAGTGAACAGGACTTCAAGTAAATACACTGACAAGGCTCTGAGAGCCAGTTATACACCGTCCCCTGCACACACAGGCACTCCATCCTATAAAACTCCTAGAGGTCTTGGCAACACACCAAACATTACACCCACCACAAGAACAGATTCCCAAACCCCAGTAGTTCCTGATCCCACCTCCATTACAGATGATTTGCTACATCTTCCGAAACGACGGAAAGCATCAGACTTCTTCTGAGAACAAAATTTGTAAATGGGGGGAAAAAAATGTGCAGTATGTTATGCAGAAATGGAGTGGATCTTTCACAGAGAATAATCTAAAGATATAACCAGAAGACTAGTACACAGACCAGCTAACAAAATGTAACTAGACTCACTTTTAGCACTTGCTAAAAAAAAAATATGCATGGAGCCAATGCAAGTTCTCACTTGTTCTATTCTTTTTGAAGATTAAAAAGTGACCCACAAAACCAAATGTTCGTTCAATACTCACCATTCTGTATCTTCAAGAGTCTATGTTGTGATCTATTTATATTGTACATATTTTTTTTTATAACCTAAAATGCCTAAATAAAAAGCTTGCTTTTATTTTATCTATTTTTATAGAAATATTTGTGGAAAGTATATCGTAGTAACCTTAACAAATGTCTAGAATACTTCACAATTCCAGTTTTAGAATTTCAACATATTTTTATATTTGCTTATCTACATTTTAATTACATTTCTTGTATTCTTCAACAACTTCAAAATCCAAATCATTTTGCCTTCAGACATCACAAAATAGGACTTACTTGACTGCTTTTCTGTTTATTTAGGAAGGCAATTAAGAAGGAAATGTTTAGATTTATTTCTTCATATTGGATGTATACATTATTTTTAGGAATCTGGGAAATAGAAAAGGCCAGGAAAATATATTTATATGCAGCCTTGCCCCTCTCTATGTACCAATTTTAAGGCATGTTTTGTACCCGACACAATATATCACTATGTAATGTTGAAATATTGCTGTGTGCAGTCATTTACCTGCTTCAATAAATAGTGCTGGCTCTGCTGTTCGTGAGAAAAAAAAGTGGTAATAAATTGAATTAGGGTGCTGGACAAAGCTATGCAAACATACTGTGTTCAGTTCTGTTTAAATGGTTACTCTAACCAAAACACGGTGTTCTAAGGAAACTATTATTGTTTAAAGTTATTCTTTCTAAACTGTCACCTCCTCCCCCCACATATCACTTCCAAGAATAGGTACTAAACTGGGCAATAACAAAGCCTATGACTACTAATCAAGTTGTCTCTGATGCATTGTGTCTTGAGTCTTTAATTGACTATATATTTACTGTCTGCATTTTGACTTCATGTAGATGTCTGATCTACAAGAATATATCTGGTTTTGTTGATGGTAGTGGAATTTACTAAAAATGTTAATGTGATAGGGAATATAATGTGTGTGTGTGTATATATGGAAGTAAACTATTTTGCAACAGGATAGCAGACTGTCTTAAGAATGTGGATAAGGACCAACATTAAAATTCTAATTTTGTTCAGTTTTGTAGTCCTTTTGTGTACTTAAAATCTTGTAAAAATTCTAAATATGCATGTATATATTTTAATGACAAACCATAAAGCCCTCACTGGTCACCTCCCCCCTGTTCTTCAAATAGAAGAAGGATAAGACCTGCTTTGCAAACAAACCTTATTTACATCTTGTAGGAAAAATTGTGTTTTTGAAAAAGTCAGTTGCTGTGGTCCTCCCTGTTTCAGTCCTTGGATATGTCTGAAGCATGCTGCCATAAACCAAAGGTACGCAATCATGATTGGATCATAAACACAGTAAAGTCAGAACTAACTCGTTTAATCCAATTTCTAGGTCTTATCTTGGATGCCATAAATATGAAAATCTTTCTTCTAAAATACAAGAAAAAAACAGAAACTCCGTTTTTGTGTTACAAAGAAGGTCTGTTCCATAAGGAGTCTCCTTGGTCTGTTCACAGCGGCCACTCCGACAGTAAACTGGGCCAAAGTAAGAATGAGACCCGTACAAAAGAACTTTCAGTCTCAAAGAGAAACACCTCTTCAGTGGACCACTTGATTTATCTGCCCTCCACTCCAAAAATCCTAAATTGTTGGACATCTTCCCGGTTCCTGTCAGGTCTTTCATTTCAACTAAAAAAGTTTGTATAATGATTTCCACTATCATTAATCACCGATCAGGCCCTACCTATGTTTCTGATGTCACCAATACCGGTGTTAAAAGGAAGCTGCAGCTGATCTCAGACGCTTAATCAATTTGCAACTTTGATACTTGCTACTTTTTTGCTAATTGCTGAGGGAGCTCCTCTATTTGATTACCTGTGTACCGAACCTCTCTTGATTGATCCTGACTACGCTGGCTTCTCCTCTCCGAGATTAGAAACATACTTCACCACGAATTCCTCCATGTACTACAGGGAACCATAATCCACTCTATTCTGGAAAGGACTTTCATGTGCATCATCCAAAGAAAGCAAGATAAATTCTCCAGTTACTGGGATTAATAATTGGTTCAAGCCTTAGGTTTATTTGGAAGGAAGAGGGGATACTAATATCTGCCCTCTGGGATTCTATTATCACATGTTGGCTTTATTGAAAGCCATTGAAATTCAATTAAAGCTGAATGCTACTTTCTAAATTGTTTCATTTATTATTGGAGTCTAAAAGGACTAGAACCATTTATCCAAATCAGGATATACCTTAATTTCAACGTTTACTTTAGCAACCAAAAAGACTGTTACATTCCTAAAACAGGAATAACCTGTTCTTCGAATTCCGTATTTGTTTTCTAATGGACTATATTCTATTTTCCTAATTAAGGAGTTACCTTGTCTATTTATTTCTACTGAATACTATCTCTGTTGAAGTTATACTTAGCAAGATTGCCATTTATTATGCATTATTATTTCCAATAATCAGTGCTGCAGCAGATTGCCAAGTTAATTTACTTCATTTC